ACTGTTGAACCCAGTTTTCTCTGGGGTTTTCTTTTGGCTCGAGCTGTGATCAACAACTCGGCGAAAAATAGGTGTATGTGTTCTTTTTTTCAACTGGTTAGTGTTTGGAAATATCTTACAGAAGTTCTACGAGTAGCAGTTATAGAGGGTGCAGGAAGAATAGTTTGAAGCTTGACTTTGGGTGCTGAAAGCCTTGATCTACGTATTACAATATCTAGATAGTAAAAGCAGTTTATTTGGAAGTAGTAGTAGCAGTAGTAATAGTAGTAGTGTGTGGTACACAAACGAGCAGTTTGGCCATTGAGAATCCTTATTCAAAATCTTTAACTTAGCGCTTAGCGCAATTTAGTAACTAATAACTTAGTTGTTAATTATCTAAATAGAGCATTCTTTCAGCTGAACATTTACTTAGGCTAACGTTAACGTTTCTTTTGATTAAACAACTTTGATTGCGGGTTAACTTTAACAATTTATTGTAAGCATGTGCGTTCGCTTGAATTTAAACTATGTTCCATTTGCCTGGATTCGATTCGATTCGATTTGGTTTCAGAAACCTCCATGGAAGCCGCCTTCGAGGCGATAAATGATGCTCCAAGAATATATATGTATATGCGCTATATAGCGTCGACTAACTCTGACTATGGCTATAGCTCTCTAACTCTCATCGGAGTGATGCTGGTTTTGATTTTTGAAAATTGCTTCGATTCGTAAACCGCCCACTTGCATGGGATTTTGGAGTGGGATTGGAGCTCGGATCGGGATTATCGGGATCGGGTTAGGATCGGATTAGGGCTCGTCGGAAACGGATTGTAGGGGATAGGTAACGGTATTGTAGTAGAGGATACGTGCGATTGTTTTAAAGCGTTTTGCGTTTTTCTTTTGCATTATCATTTGTACGATTCCACAGATATATACATTATTACATCGTTCATCGATCATCATTGGTTTCAAATTTCAGTTTTTTAAATTTACAGACATTTTTCATTGTATTACATTCGGAAATTTAGTTTGGATTTAGTTTTTGAGATTTTTTTTTTTTTTTGGTTTTGGTGGCACACGTGAAATGCAAACGAATCGAGTTGAAAATATATTTATACATACATAAATATATATTTAGAGTAGTTAAATAAAATTATTGTTAGATAATAAAAGCATTTCGAGGGGGGAAAACGGGGGGTTCATATATAGAATAGATTTTCAGAGAGAATCGTGGTGTACATTCAGAATGTTTTAATTCGAGGGTTATTGGTATTGTTGTTGTAGTTGAGTTGTTGTTGGGTTTTGTTTGTTGTTTGGTTGGAGTTGCGTGTTTATTCATTCATAAATTTCGAAAGAAATATCCGTCGGTTTCATTCATTTTTTTGGTATCGGTTGTTTTTGAAAATGTTTCGAATTGAAGTACGAAATGAAATGCATTAAAAATGAAATATTTCGAAGGATTTTATAGTTTTTGAGATTGGCGTGTTTCGACAATGATTTCGAAAAATGATTAGAAGAGAGAAAAAGAAATGAAAGAATATATAATATAAATACATTTAACAAATTTTAGTGTGTGTGTGTGTGTCGAGTGTGTGTTTCTGTGTGTTTGTGTTTGTGTGTGTATGTGTGGCGAGCGTCTGTCTGCGTTCAGTGTTATTGGATAGTTTTCGCTGTTCATCTTCGCACTTGGGTGAATCACATTTACAAATGAGTCCTAGGACCGGGAAACTCAGGTGAGATATATCTGAACACTGAGAGTGAAAACGAGAGTGGGTGGAAAATTGGAACCGGTGGGTTGGTGGGTGGCTGGTTGGGTGGTGTGGTGTGGTTGGTGGACACATAGAGCAGAAAAGCTTACAACAATTACGACACTCAGTATGTGGTTGTTGTGGTGTGAAACACTTATGAAAGGATCTTACTCATGCCCGACTCTTCTTCGGATTGAAAATGTATATAAAAAATCGTTTAGAGAGAAGGGTGAACTTTTAGGTATTATCTTTCTCGGCGATCAAACGACACTTGGGTGAAACGGGAATTATTCAGAGTGGTGTGTGGCTGTGTTGAATGTACACTGATCACAGTGGGGGAAAGAAACAATATGAAGCGATACTAACGTATTTTTTTACAATGTAAGACACCTGCAACAAATGATGCGCAAAGTAAGAAAAGAAAATGAAACAATTATTAGACTTGGCTAGTCCAGATAGTTAATGTCTGACTACAATATATTAGAATCTATATATTAATAGGCGTATGGTAAGTGTGTACTTAGATGAGATCAAGTTTCAATTTTGAAATGTACTTGAGATGGTTGCTTGATGAATGATAGGTCAGAAATTAAGTGGTACAGAGGGTTCAACTGAACTTATTATCAGTTTTGGATTATCTTGTTGGTTATTTTTACAATTTACAATTTGGAAGTAGTTTTGTAATCTTGGTTAATCTTTAAGATAATATGTACAGTAGGTTAGGGTTAAGGTTTTTAGAAAACGGACAGAAATCCTGATAACTGAAGATCTTTCGCAAACTGTTTCTCAATTTCTGACAACAAAGTGATTTCTATTTTGATATGTTTTCGGTGCATGTCCTTGTATGTGTGCTTGTGTTTGCATGTGTGTGAGTGTGTCTCTATAATAACTACGATTATACTTTACTTGGCCAAATTTGTCAATGGACAAAACTAGAGAACGAAAAACTCATATGTCACACACAAATCAATATGATTTAAAGAAACTTAAAAATAACACAAATAAAATTTGTTTACAATTTTCAGCGAACCAATTGTTTAAAATCGTCAAGTTTTCCAACTAATTAGCGAGTACAAGGAAGAATTATGTTTCAGTGAGTGTTTTAAAGAGTTTATGCAGGGAGACTGCGATGGAGATTTAAATTGCGTTTATGCGTACAGTTTTAGTTGGAAAAAAGTTTTTCTTTTTAAAAATCTTGTAGAATTTTTATTAGATAGCAAAGAGTTTAAAACAGATTTTGAAGCAGATAGACTAACACATTTTAATATACGGTTTTGGGTTGATTATTATATCAATTTACTTTTTATTTTGAATGGTCTTGACTTTCTATTTTTACCAAAACCAGTGTCAATTTGAAATTCGTGATTGGCATAAACGCAATGTGTGACTGTGACTATGACGGTGACTATGACCGTGACTGACTGGTGATGGTGAGCGAATGAAGAGCTTAATTATGATTTCATCTTCAGATTGTTCGAGTGTTTGCGGCACTGAACCTTGAGATTGATTGTGGATATTTAGAGTACATAGCTAGAGAGATGTGTTTTATATGCAAAGCAAACATCGACCGGCTCACAACCATCAATATCATCATTATCATTATCATCGTCGATGTCAGCGGCGTCATCAGCATCGTAATCATAATCACAATCGTTATCATTTTAATCGTCCCCATCTTGGTCGGCACCTTGCTTCTCTCAGTGTTTCTAGTGTTCTGTCTATTTTGAGTATGTGTGTGTAAGTGTGGGTGTATTATATATGGGTGTATGGGTGTACGGTTGTGTGTAAAGTGTCGTGTTCTTTGTGGGTGGTTGGTTCGGTTTTTTGGCTTGGTGGTTCGGTGGTTTCTGGTGGTACTTGGCAGTGGTTCTGGGGATGGTGGCTCAGCTGAGTGCTCCAGCTGGCGGGCATGATTACAGCTCGCCGCCAGACCTCTGTATTAGTATTAGTGTTGCTGTATTAGTTGTGGGGTGGCTGAGGTTATTTTTTTTAGTTTTTTTTTTCGGTATCGGTATCAGTTGAGGTTGGTTTTGAATTAATTTTCATTTTTGTTTTGGTTTTTTTTTTTTTTTTGCTTTGGCTGTGATATATATTTGATATATATATTTTTTGGGTTTGGCATTGTTGTTGTCGTCGCTATGCGAAAATGTTTGCTTTGCCAGACCGTAAGAGAATACTTACACAGCACTCGCGGAACTGTTTGGCATCGATGGGCGAGGTGAAGTTGAGGCCCCAGGTGTCGTTGGTCATGGGATCCTTCCAGTAGACAAAGCACTCCGAAGCCTGGCCAATGCGTGTGCCTAACAAGGATTAACATAACATGGTGGTGAGGGAATGATTCGATTGAACTCGAAATGGGGGGAGGGAAAATGTGCACTCACCTGGCTGCACAAGTCTCACATCGAGTATCTTGTCCACCTGACTGTTGTACGCGGTGATGTGAAAGATGCACTCGGGCGAGTCCTGAATGCAGGTGATGTTCACAGGAACCAAATCCTCGGACACTTGTTGCCACTTGACGGTGCCGGCTCCGCTCGCTGACACATGGAAGACCTCTGCCCACAACCTGAACGAACTATCGTTGGTTAATTAAGTTATGTCAACAATGTTTGGTGGTTGTTTGTTTTGGTTTGGAGATTCGATTCCGATTCGAATTTAGATTTGGTGCACAATTAGTTTTTTTTTTTTTTTGGTTTGGTTGTTTGGTTGGTTGGGTTGGAGAGGAAAATTGGAAAAACAAAGAAACACATTTTGTAGTTATATAGTTGGTTTTTTTTGTAGTTGTAGTTGCAGTCGTAGGTAGGAAGGAATAGTTGAAGCAGGATACATTTATTGTAGTTGTTGTTGTTGTTGTGGTGGTGGTTTGGTGGTTTTGCCGCATCAATTTGTGTGTGATTGGTTTTGAGGTGTTGTTTGTTTCGTAAGTTGTTTTGGTATAAATTGTATCATATTTTGTTTTATATTTTTGTGAAAGAAAGAAAAACCAGAAGAAGAACACAATTAGTTGGATCGAAAAACAGTTATCGAAAGAGCGAATTGAGTTGAATTGTGGTTCAGTAGTTGGTAGTGGCGGTGGTAGATGGTTGCAGCCCCGTTTTGGCAGTCAGTGAACAAAAACAGAGTCGGGCTAAAAGAGTGGTTCAGTTCGGTGAGTTGGAGCTATAACCCACCTCAGTAGATGACCATCGCGACGACGGGAACTTTGCCAGGGGGGAATCCTCGTAGCGGTAGGCCTTCCGCATCAGCGGGGCACAGGAGCAGCTCAGTTTGTTACCCATGGCGCAGTTGGCGCAGCTCGCCGCAGATCCTGCAGGACATACACATTAGTTTCTGATAGGGATTATGGGGGTGTGGAAGCTTACCTTTACCAGAGGCACCCCGATGTCACCACATGCCGCTCACGTCCGCCTGCGAGAGCGCCTGTCCGCGGTTCAGCGACTGTGACCGCTGGTTGTGCCGATGGTTGTGGTAGCGACTTGATCGCTGAAAAACGTTAGGAATAATTAGACATCATATCTATATGTATTTAGCAACTTTTTATTGGTTTGGTTTGGTTTATTTAATTCTTTAAATAAAATTTTATTTTCTATCTTCTTTATCTCTCTTACCAACTTTAAATTTAAAAACGGGTATTTCTATTCAAATGCTTTTACGATTCAATTAGATAAGATTTATAAAGTACCTGTATCGGAAATTGTACATTGTACAATACAATATGTATTTTAATGGGTAACTTAAAAACAGGGCTTTTGGCTTTGATTTAATGGCTTTAAGGTTTTCTGGTCGTTTCTCGACCAAAAATGGTCCTAGAACAAAAAGAATGACTGTTTTTCACAGTTGAAGACCTAAACTAACGATCCTCATCATTTATTGGCAGACTAAAAAAAATACATTTTTTGGACAATTTTCGCGATTTTGATAAGGGGTAACATCATCATTTTTTGCGAAAAGTGGTCAAAAATAAAAGTTTCCAGATTTGAACGCGAATCAATTGCAAATGTCATTACGAGCATAGCAAGGTATAACATTTCATGTTTTGAGCATTTTTTGGTCTGTTTTGGTCAAATTACTGTTTTTTTTCAGCCAAAAATCGGGAATGGGCATTTAGATTTTTGATAATAATTTGGGTACATTTTTAAGTTTTTAAACATTTACATATATGTATTTTTTATGTTACCCTATACCAACAGCTATGAAGCAGTGGGAAGTGAAACAATTACAATAAAGACCATCTTAAGTAACCTTTAATATGCAATAAAGCATATAGTTGAGTTCCACAAAAAAATCAATAAATCCGCAGCGAAGGCTGCACAACAAGTTTGAGATCTTCGACTTTGTAAGATCGAATCGCTGAAGCAACCCACGCCACAGTTTATTATCATCAAGCTAGACCGAAAGGTGCGAACGCTGGTGCAGCAATATTTCCCCTGCGCCGCCACAAAAGTTGTGTAGGTGTCAAAAACAAAAACGGTGCATAACTCAGCCCAAACGATGAAAAGCGGAAAATGTGCTTTGAAGTTTTCACGTTTGATTTTCTTGGACATTGCACTCCGCAGCGGTGCAAAAACTGAGGTGAAGATGGAGCACATTTTATTTTTATGCGGATTAAATTTTATAAATAATCACTGTCTATCCCATATGTCGGCCACATTTGTTGTTCACCCGCACAGAAGCTCATTTCGATCGCTATGATGGCGTTATATGTACGAGTATATATAGCTATTTTTGTTTACATCGTTTGAGCCAGAGAGGGCGACAAACACACAGACACCTGTTTTATGAATCGATTTTGGCCATTCAGTTGCCGGCTAGCGAGCGGTAAACGGTTCGAATTGCGGTTTACGGATCGGGGCTGACGAGATCTTGAAAAAGCCAAAACAACATCACAAATGCACGCCGCAGACTCAACTAACTCGACACTCGCAAGAAAATCTCGAAATCAAAACGAATTTTCATCTCTTGGATTTCCTCTGTCTCTTTTTCATTTTTCAAATCTCTTGGCGTCTTGAGAGCGCCAAACCGCCCACATGGAGCTCTCCGGTCGCTCAAGAGATCAGATCTCTGGCGAGATATGACGGAACAGCATGCATGTGATGATCAAGTGGACCATGGGAACCCCGAATGGGAATCCGGAGTGGTTATGGGAATGGAAATGGGAAATGGAAAATGGGGGAAGTGGGTCTGCCTGCTCGACGCTCTCTGTTCGCGTGTTGGGCGCACGTGTTGTTGCCCAATTTATTTTTAAAATCCATCCACTCTCGCCACTCTCCACTCTCATTAGAAATTGCAATTGGGATCGTCTGTCTGACACACTTTTGGGCGACGAGAGACACATCGAAATGGATCATCAAGTTGTTGACAATATTAGGGGGTTTTATGGTTAATTTTGGGGAGAAAAGCGAGAGAAGAGGATCTGGTTAAATGAAGATTTGTGGTGGCAGTTTTTGGCAATGTCTTTGATTGGCTTCTTATTTAATAACAACTGATTTTGCAGTTTGTTTAATGAAGTGCTTGATAAAATAAACGGAATATTTTCTGGGCATAAAGAGTACAGACTTTTGATGGCAAAAACTTTTGTTATAAACATTATAATGAACATCATCATGTTGTAAAAAAAACTTATAAAACCAAGAAGAAGAAAGTATTTATTTACTTATTCATTGATAATAAAAGTTCAAGGAAACAATATTATAGTTCTAGTTAATCCATTAATTTGGAACCAGTGCAATATATGTTTCTTTTAATGACTTTTTAAAGACTATTTCGTTGGGAAACTTTTGTATTCTGGGTCCACACATGCGTGCAGCTAACATTTGGTAGTTTTGGAATTTATGGAGGAGAATTTATGGATGGGTTGGTAGATTGTTTTTTTTTTTTTTTTTTTTTTTTTCGTTATAAATAATACACACCTCCACATGGCCCCAACCATCGGCGTTCATTTTGGCGGCTGCCTCGACACTTTCCTTGGCGCCCATTGTTTTGTTTTTGCTTTAAGATCGCGTTCAGTTTGGTTGATGTTTTCCTATGGAAATTGTTTCGTTACTCGCTTGGGCTCGCCTTCCTTCCTTTTTTGTCCCTGTGCCCGTTAAGTGCTTTTGAGGATTCGGGCAGCTGTCAGATGTTATTTATTTTGGGCCCAAGCGGAGGACCAGGAGCGTCTGCGTTGTGAGGGCCGCGACTCGTGTTGTTGGCCAGGAGACTCGTTTCAATGTATAAATATTGAGCGGATTGACGTTGACGTCGCTCCTGCTGTCACACGCACGCACACACACACAGCCACAGCAGCACACGCACACAGTGGCTAACAAAAGGAGTCGCTCTCTATTTTTCGGTGAGCGAGGGATGCTGGGCCGTTGAAGGCGGCTTTCAATCGACTTTCGTCGGGTTGAAAGTGCTGCTGACGTTGAAAGCAGTTAAATAATAGAACAGGAGCACGTCCTGACCGTCCCCGTATCTGTGTGTGTGTGTGAGTTTGTCTGTGTGCTATCCTGATGGTATGTCCTGGCCTATATGGCGTATACGTATGCGTGTGTCGAGTGTATTATTTATGCAGCAGAATGTTCTTGCTGATGCTGCTGCTATTGCTCCGTCTCTGAAGAGTTTTGTTTCTTTGTTTGTCCTTTATTTGCTTTGCTTTTTTCCTTGTGGTATTTGCTTTTAGTCAGTTTTTCACTTGGTGCTTTTAAACGGTGCGTATGATTAATTTTTGTATATTTTCAGTTGATATTATCGTTAATTTTTTAGGTGATTCCTTTTACTTCAGTGCCTGTGATTAGGATTTAGTTTGATTTCTAGTTAGGGATTTGTTGTTTTATCCTGTAGCCTTTGAATTGGCAACGCCTTTCGCGGCCCACCGAAAAAAAGTTCGTTTTATGCCTGCTTTTTCATATATTTCAGAAACCAATAGCGTTTATTATTAAAGGATCACTTTTCACTATATTTTAGAGGAATTTTCGGTGTGTTTTTTAGTGATTTTAGGCTGGAAAGATCGAGATTTTCCTTTTTTCGCCACGAAACGAGCAGGATGAAGGCGCTGTGTATTTTCGTGTAGCCAAAATACCTACAAAACTTGACGAAGCCCAAACGAAATGTTTTCACTTGACGAAACTGGAGAGGAGCAGAGCCGCGAAGAGAAAGCGGAGAGAGAGAGTGCGAGGAGAAAGAGAGCAAAGTAGAGCAGGAGATGAACGTCGAATTACAGCGACAGCCGAAAATTGCTACCACCGCCTCCCTTTCCCTCAGGCTTATATTTTAATTTCGATTTCTTTCTTGGTTTTCCGTCGTTATCCTTTATTTTGTGTGCCTTCTCCTCTGCTGCTGCTTCTTCTTCTTCTTCTTCTTCTGCTGCTGCTCCTCTCGCTGTGTGTGCGTGTGTGTGAGTGAGTAAGAGTATGTGTGGGCTTAGCTTAGAGGTATGTGCAGTGGCTTTGACCCCCCTTCACACCGCTCCTCTCTTTTCGTTGCGTGTGTGCCTCAAAAAAGTTGCATAAATCACCACACCTTAATTTACTTAAATGTCGATTCTTGTTTAGGAATGTTTATAGTTTGAATTCAACTCGGTTAATTCATTTTCGGCTGCCTCGTGGGCGTTTTTTCCACTGCGACACAAAAGTATGCTACACTTTTTCGGGATTTTATCAATCGCTTTTCTTGGGAATTTTCTTTACTTTTAAACTGTGGTTTTTCGATATTTATTGGTTGTAATTTAATTTCTGTTTGATTATAGTTAAACGCTATATTTTGTTTAGGTTATTAGGTTTTTGAGGCAAGAAAAAAGCGACACAACCGTCGACGTCGACATCGAAATTCGTTTTGAGTCGTTCAAATGCAGAGGGATGCTGCGACGCTGACTGCGACGCCGACTGAGCAGCTGGCAGCTACGTCGCTGCAACTGTTGGAATGTGTGCCACACACACACACACGCACTCACACACATACTCTCCTCTTTTTTTGGGGTGGCTCTGGTGCTGTTGTTTTTGGCCCTTTGCTACATGTGCTGCTGTGTGCGAAAGTTTTAATGTCTCCCCAATGCACGGCCGTATGTGTGTGTGGGTGTCCTTGTGTGTGTTAATGTAATATTAATGTTATAATTTGCTAGGCGGAAAGGACAACGAACGTGCGGAGTTAGCGACATCAATAATGCAGCCAGAAAAACACAAAGGATATGCCTGTGACAAAAGGGGGTTATGGTGTGGTGTGGGGGGCTTAAGGGGGTGAGGAGTGCGCCTTTTGAGCATGCCAATCAACCGAGAAATTCGCAATTAAAGCCCGCCTCTATTTTCCAACACTGTTTGAAACAGTGGCACGTTCCACATGCCACAAAGTAAAAGTGAAAAGCAACATCAAAATTAATAAGTAGAAAGGATGCTGACGCCCGCGTCGCAGTCACGTCGCTGCTGCCGTTGGCAGAGGCAGAGAGAGAGAACACACTTCTGCTGCTGCGCTATTTCAACACTTAACGAAACTTTCGTTCAGTCAAGACAGCGACCAGCTGAAGCTTCTCTAACGGTAATTATTAGCTCCAGCCGCTTGAATTTGATAGTTTTTAAATATTTAAATAATGGTTTTAGAAAAATGGAAAATTCTTTCAAATATAATTTGAAATGTTTATGTATTTTACGATAAAACAAAGGCGTGGCATTATATTTCTTAAAGGGTTACCACCCACCCACATCGGTTAAATACCGTTATCTCTCGCTGCCTTCAAAAGACGTCATTAGGAAACTGCAGCTTGCAGCTGACGGCGGCAGAGGCACTAGCAGAGCTAAAATTCGCGTCACAAAGGCAAAAACAATAATAAAGCCTAGCCAAAATTGCAACAAAAAGTGGAAGCTGAACAGTTAACCAAAAAAGCTTAAAAATCTTGTTGTTTTTGTTCATGGCAGCAATAATTGGCCATCGGTGTCTGTGTGTGCTTCTTTTGTTGTTGCGTAAGGTTTTTTAGGGCAACTGGAGGGTGTGGTTTAGGGTTGTCAAAAATTAAGGACCATCAACAGAAATTTTTTTTAGCAATATTCATAATTAAAACTGAAAATTTGGAGTGTAAAAGTACATAAAAAAATCCTAAACAAAAATTCGTCATCACAATTATCTTAAAAGTTTTAAGGCTTCTTTAAGAGGGTGTGGTTGCTGCGCAGTTTCCGCTGCTCATCCTCATTTTGGGCGGAGTGGCAACCCTAACATCTGTTTTTCGGCCAACCTGCAATCTCTTGCACCTTTTCATCTCGATTCATGTTTTTATGAATGAATGGCCGAACACAATAACAATAAAAAGCTTTTTCCAACCACCACCAAAAAACGAGTTGTACTTAGAGCGTTTGTGGGTTAACTCAGTTGGTAACTTTTAATATCCTTTTAATTTGCTAGTATTTAAGATTGATCACAGATAATAACAACGATTTACATAGATGTTATTATGGAAAACAATTTGTTTACACATATCTAAAAAAACTAATCTTTATATTTAAATGTTTTTCTGTGGTCTGATATACTTGGCAGATAAAGTTACTTCTACCTTTTTTACAACATATAAGTTAATTATGTATTTTAAATATTTGTAGCTCTCATGAGCTTTCGAGCCAAGTTCAAAAACGATAATCAAGCAACGAACTGGTTCCTTCACACACAATTTATTTAAATTACAGTGTTGGTAAGGGCTGGGACTCTCTGCAAGTGTTGGACAAACCGGGCAACCGGAGACACCAACCCTCGGTTTCTTGGTTGATAAAAAAGGAAACGATAGTAAAGAAAATATCGATAAGACATCGATGTTTAAAAGAACAATTGTTGTTGCAACTTGTGGATTAATAAAAACACCGACGCCGCCATAGTTTGAAAATAACAATTAAAAATCTGTGAAATAAGGGGAAATGTTGGAGGCCGGGGGTGAGGCAGAGATCCTGGCCGGCTGGACAAGTGCGGATGTTGGCCCCGAAGCAAAGGGTGAGTTTAAAATTACCTTTTGATCTGAGTGGTGTTACCCGCAATTTTGTTGTTTATGTTTTTTGTCAGAATATAATTTACTGCGCGCCGATGAGGAATATCGCAATGGAAACGTGGAGCACTCTATATATTACCAGGTTAAAGCCCAATTCCAGTCCACCGATTTGCGTTACATTACCGAAGCGGAGGAAATAGAAAATCAGCGACCCACAACGGAGGAGCTGATTAAATCAGCCTCTAACCAGGAGAAAAAAGACTACAAAAGCAAGAAATTCATGCAGAACATTATTAAGTATCTGCAGCAAATAGAGCAGCAGAAGCAGCCCCAAAAGCCTACCAAAGAATCCTTAGAGTACCTGGACTTTCTAGAGGGTGTACAAGATCCCACAGAGGGTCTTAACCGCATTTCGGATATATGTAACAGACTGCCTGAGGAGTGGTGTGTCCTGCAGCTCTGCAAGAGCTTCAATCCCGCCACCACCTATTCCGTGTTCAACGAAATCATGGCCAGCGATGGAGCCATTTATCTCAGCTTGCTGCGTCACTGCAGGAGCCCCATGTATGGACCAATCTGCCTGAGGTTTTCCAACGACAACCTGGCCAATCTCTTTCGACAATACAGTACATTGGTGGAGAGATTCAGGAAAGTGGTCACTGTGGATCCACTGAATATGAAGGGCAAGGAGGCCAAGCAAAAGTATTGGGAAGAACTAAATGCCTTCGATGCTTTTCTGCAAGTAAGTTTCGTGCTTAAGACCCATACAATTCGTTAACTGAATTTATGAATCCCTTTAGAAACTCCTTGCCGGCTTTCGGGAAATAATTTCGCCATATGCCTTCCTGTTTTTTGGCAAACGCTATGACTGCAGTGCGACCCAAAAGCAGGCCAAGATTATCTACACCCGCGTGGATGATTTTTGTCTGCTTAACCAATGGAACAATCATCAGCGAGTTTTGCTTTCCCAAGCGGCTCTGCACGCCAATCGACTGACTGCAGCAGATCTCAAACTCATCTGCCTCGAGCTCTCGACCAACGAGAGTGAAATACAATCGGTGTACGAAATGCTCAAGGGATTCGCCAGCGACTGGTCGCAAGTGGAGGAACGCCAGCAGCTGGTGAGCAGGAGATTTCCCACCATTCTAGTGGTTGATGAGGTAGTTTTACTTACTTACAATAAAATAAGCTTCTTAATGGAATTATTACCATTTTAGCGCCTGGACCACCTCCATTGGGAACAACTAGTCACAGTTCAGGAGTTTTCGCGCGTCAAATCGCTGCATTGCCTCTATCGTTTGTTCCAGCACCACAAATCAAATATAAAACACGGCTACTACACTACGAGCATTCAGCAGGGAATGTGCGTAATAAATCCGGATGCGGATTTGGTCAATTCAGGGCGAAGGTTACGCAGTTTCTTTGAGTACTGGCTTTCCCAGTGGCAACATCTCTTCGAAACTGTGCCCAATGAGGAGGTGATGGTAAAAAAGGCTCTGCAATCCGACTGCTTTGTGTAAGATGGGATTTTATAGGACTACAGAGACTTAAGATAATTAATTCCTTTTTTATTTATAGCTACGCTGGCCATGGATCTGGTTTGCAATACGTAAATGGACGCGTAATTTGTCGCGCACGAGTTCGCAGTGTGGTTTTTCTATTTGGCTGTGATTCGACCAGAATGCTGGGCACTGGCTTGTATAGTGCCTTGTATGGGGCCCATGATTACTACCACGGAGCTCTGTGTCCCTCGATTGTGGGGACTTTAATGCCTGCCCTGGATGGGAACATGGATACAGTTTCGGTGACTGTTTTAAGTCTTTGGTTGGCTCCTGGTGATAAACAAGTGATGCCTTGGACACACATTGATCGAGTGCCTTGGCTCAAAAATGGCATCATAAAAGGTGAGTCTTGAAAGTTTATTTTTGTGTTATTTATATCTGTGTATGTGGGTAGATATGGATATTTTTATAAGCCTTTACTTCCCACAAATATTTAATGTTAGGTTACAAAACTTTTTTTTTAACTCAGGAAAGGAGAAGACCACACCCACAATGGCCGAACAACCAGACTACCATTTAGGCAGCCTCTGCTCCATTCTCTCGCTGGTGCAGCAAGGAAAAGTGGAGCCGAATGTCTACAACTGCTGCATTTACGTGTGCCGCGGCCTGCCCGCATGGAATTTGGCCGTGGAAAAGTTGCCTTTTTAGCTAATTTTGTGTTTCGTGTCGTGGAGTCGATCTCCCCTAAGGGCAAATGTTTAGCAAAAGAAACCATGTACAATAATCTGATTTAATTGAACTACTTCATTCAAGTGGAAAGTGGTGCTCATAAGATTGCATTAAAAGTTAAGTACACTCAGAATCGTAGGAATAAACCAGTACATTGATATATATTAAGAAAAAAAATTCTAATACACTTACCTTGTGTAATTTATTTGGAAGATATACGGATGTTTCTTTAGAGATTAAGCACTTTAACTAGAAGTTTCCTTTGCTTCGGGTTAGTTAGTTGTTTAGTTAAGAGTTTTAAACATGTTTAGACTTTGTACATTGTGTTTTGGTTGGAACTTTTAACCGTTTATGGATTCATTAGATTATTTGATTTAGGTTAGAGTTTTCGTTTTCTTTAATTCGAAATTCGAATCATGCCAGAGACAGAGAGTAGAGATTCATTCTTACGTTGCCTGTGCAAGAATAAGGAGTGAAAAACGTTAATTCGAGTACAATTCGCAAAAATGTGGGTGAGGAAAAGCAAAAAAGTGAAAGTGAGGTGCAAACGACAGTCAGATAGAAAGATAGAGTGTGGGAACATTGAGAGTTTGTAAAATTGCAAAATAATTGAATGCGAGAGGAGAAAATCCCACACGGGACGACGAATGTGTAATGTGTAATGTGTAAGTGTGCCTGAATGGCCAGAAACGCCCATCTATTTATTTACTCGCACTCGTTTTGTCAGCCCCATTCGCTCTCCTAAAAACGCGACTCATCTCACCTCGTTCCCGTCCTCGGATTTGCCCTTTTGGCCAGAGCTTTTCCTTTTTGCCTTTTGCCCCCCCGACTGAACCTGCGGCGACCTCCAACCGCCCAGCATCGCATCTACTTGACCTACTAACGCCTGTCGCATTATGACACACATTCGTTAATTAGGCCCAGCCCTGCGGCCAACTACGACCAACTCCTTTTTTTCAGCAACGAATCAGTCAAATTGTCATCGAGCACGCGGCGTATGCGTAATATTATTATTGTTTGGCCCCGATTTGCATGCCATAAAAAGCTGAAGCAAAATACAAATATAAAATACGCACACACACACACACACGCACACAGGAGACACACCTCGACGCGTCCCTATTTTTATGGGTTACCAATAACGGGGATGGGCGGCCAGTGTCCTTCGTCCTTCGGAATGATGTCTCAATGCCGTGCCCATGCAGCGCGAGTTAAATCAAATTAGCACCCGTATGGGGCAGCAAAATCCGAGGTGCACGCTGCCGTGCCACACCCCCTAAGCACGAGGAAATGGGGACAGGGAACAAGGCGCAAGGACTCGGAACATGACAGGAGACAGCGTCAGAAGGAGGATATTACATAACAGGCGCTCCCCATGTAAATCTGGTTGTAAATTCTCTGTGCGCTTGTGTGTGTGTGTTTTCGCGTGCTTCTCTGTATGTGTGTGTGAGTTGGATTTTCCTCCTACTTTTTTGTGTGTGTGTGTGGGTTGTGTGTGTGGCTTGCCCCAAATGAATATGCGATGACGTTGACGTTGCTTTTGTTATTGTCAGTTGATGCTGGCTTTATTATTGTTTGCCCAGTTAAAAAGGTAATATTTCGCCTTTTCCTCTGTTAACCTTGAACTCTTAGTTTTCGCCAGCATTTTTCTTTTTCATAATTTATGCGTTGAAAAACTTGTACTTTTTATGCAAAAAAAAATTTTACAAATGTTTTTTTTTTCGGTTTTATATTTATGTTAATTTTTTTCCGTTTTTTTTTTTTTTGGTGTTAATTAAGTTGTTTTTGAAAATTTGTTGCTGAAACGCTTTGTTAACTTTGTTGAAATTCTTTTAGTTGTCTTAGTTATTGTTTTTGTTTGAAGTTGATTTGATTTGATTAGGCTGTCCTTTAATTTGGGTCTTTTAGTTCTGTGTTAAAATGTTGTAAATGTAAATTCCGCCGCGTTGCACACAACAATTCTCTGGCAGAGATCAACTGAGACTGAGCTCGCCAGTGACTTTAGGGTCCCGCATAAGCAGTTGCATCCTTTCTGGTTTTTGGGTATCCCGCTCCTGCTTCCTTGGCGAAGGACACACACGCGAGAGAGAGCGCCAGCGAGCGAGCCCGAACAATGTTGCAAACTGATGGCGAACCGTCCAAACCACAACAAAAACAGCCAAAGGGACCAACAGAGAGAGAGAGAGCGAGAGAGAAAGAGAGAGTAGAACAAAAAATGCTGGCAGGACCTTCTCCGCTCCTCTTGGCCATGCCCTCGCCCAATCCGTTTGTTGTTGCCGCTCACGCTGTTTAACTTTTTTTTGGGGGTGGTGGGCCTCAGGTTTCCAGCTTACAATGATTCTGCGTTTTCATGGTGATTTTGTTGTTGCCCCAAGGAAAGCTCCAATGTTGTCAGTGGCCACGTGACTGCCAGCAGGACTTTCTTATCAGCCGCGAGCTTTAAGTTCGCACCCAAGGGTGCAAAAGCTCTGATCTCAGATAGCAGACCATAGAATGCTCTCTAGCTTAATTCATTTACTTGTACTCTAGTTAAAAAGCTTATTGAATAGTTTCCTAAAATTAACATAAAAGTAAAGGATAAGCTTAGTCTAACTTGGTTTTTGGGTTTGTTTTTTCCCCTTTTTAATATCTAAGTTTAGTAGCTAGTTTTGTTGTACGTGGGTTTCTTTGATTTGATGCGTGTTTTTTTAGATTTCCATTTGTACTTGTCAAAGAAGTTTGTAACTTCCAACTACCAATCCACAGGTCCCTTTTGATTTTCCCTAAGTGGCTTCCGGGCTCTTCTCCTGTGCTCCACTGCTGCTGCTGTTGTTGCTCTGACTTTGGTTCTGCGAAAAGGATGCGGTTTAATCCTGGATTGCGAAGAAGTTTCTATTCTCCCCTAGTACTCACCGCATTTCTGTGCGGACAGTCGGCGTGGAGATGGTCTTCTCCCCGGCAGCGATGACAGCGCTTCGGCTGAGGACCCAAAGCGCATTCGGAGGCAATGTGGTTGGCGAATTCGCCGCAGTTGTAGCAGCGCATGCGGCGAGTCCGGCGATTTCTATTTTAGGTGAGGGGATGAAGGACAAATTAGAAAAATTAGTGGGAGCAGTGGGTTGGCAGCATCTCTTACATGCGTGGCCTGTAGGTGCTGCCGTGACAGTTCTCGCCCTGTTTGCCGGACACCCTGGTGGCCTCCAGTCCGCGGGACGTCCGCTGGCACTCGAACTCCACCTCCTCCTGCTCGCCCAGCGAACGGAAGCCGGACATCTGAATGACGCTCTGGAAAAACAAGATGGTAATGAGTGTTTTTCAAGTAATTAGGAAATACACTTCTCTTGTTGCTAACATTAGATGTATAAACATGCCTATTATGTCGCTAAATGGAACAAATATCTTATTCTCTAAAGTTCATTATTCAAAGTTTATTTTATTTAGAGCGCTTATTCATATTATTATGGGTGAGGTCAAATTAATAAAGCTTTAAAGCCCAAAACTACTAATACTATTTAAATATGCCTTTAAATTAAAATAAAATTGCCTTTAGAAATGTATGAAATGCTTAAGAATTGCATGTTGTTATTCATCCAAGAATCTAAACTATTTTATCGTATAAAAGTACCCACCTGATGAACGAACACCTCCTGACCGCCGTCGTTTGGAGTAAGGAAGCCCCATCCTTTGGCCACGTTGAACCATTTGCATTTGCCCACTCGCACACAGCCGCATTCCTCGGCAGGATTCGCAGGATTCGCAGGATTTCCATGATTCGCTGGATGGAAGAGAACAGAATAGAAAGAAAGAAGGAAACTTGAGTTCGCAGCTCAATTCGATATCCTGTCTGGGAATCCCTGTTCATAGCATTGTTATTCAAATGTGCCAGCGGCAGCTGAAGAACTCGGGATCTGTGTTTTTTTTTTTGTTCCTTGTATGTCCTTGCCCCATTTGCCGCGAGGCAAGTTCAACTTGGGTTAGATTCGCCTGCCCCACTCCCCCCCGCATGCCAACTCCCATTGAAGGCAGAAAACAGGTTTCGCTGTTGCTGTTGCTTTTGCTGTTGTTGTTATTATAAGACATATTTGGAAATAGCCGAGTGGGTTCATTCCATTATCTAAGCAGAGGCTCATCTCACTCACACACACACTCACACACGCACGCCCATCCATTTGGGCTGGTTCGAATTCATTCATTCATTCATAAATTGTTTTCACTTCGCTCGTTCCCATTTCGCTGGCTGCTTATTATGCTTATCTTCGGAACGGGCTCTTGTACTCGTAGTATCATCGCCCAGATACAGATACTCGTACTCGTACTCGTACTCGCACTGCATTCTCATGCTCGTGGCTTATCTGAAATCAAAATTTTCATTTTTTTTCGGGGGTTGTTGGCATTTCTAGGTCGTCGTCTTCGTTGTCGTTGTCGTTTTAGTTGCCTTAAGCGTTTTCTCACTCGCTTTTCCCAACAACGTGAGTGGACTGCCAAGATCTGGAAATTCTTTTGCGTGTCTGATAAGAAACCTAATTGAATGAAAATCTTTCAATTTGGTCAAACCACCACCACACCTCTGCGAATATCCTTCGTTTGGGTTTCCTTTTCCCATTCTTATAGGTAATTCCCAAACTGGTTTCCCCCTACAAATTAGCTTTGTAAATCTTGGAGATCTTTTGCGTTAGATGCACTGAGGCGAGGATAATCCCCGCCCGGACCGATGTGTCCTTGATCGAGGGGTGGGGTCGAATGGAATGTCGGTCAGCGTTCGGGGGTTGATGACACCTCGGTCTGGTATATAGAAGCCCACCGATTTGCCAATAAAAAATCAAATCAGCGAATGGCGAAAACACAACAGAAACCGAAAAAAAACACACGCCAGCGAATAAAGAACTGCGCAGTATATAAAAACAAAAAAAAAAAAACAGACAGACAAAAACAGAAACGAAATATTAGGGCGATCGGACAACCAATCAGCTTCGTCTGTGATAAGATTCCGCATTGAATTTGTTTTCGTTTATTTTGTTTTTTTTTTTTTTTTTTTTAGGAACACGAAACTAGTTTATTGGGGGGAGAAGGGGGGAAGGGTAAAAGTGGGGGGAGGGTGACGTCTAAGCATAATTGGAAATTAGTTGCGCTCCAATCTAAACAAACCTGACGAAGTCGAGCTCTGACTGCTCCTCCTTTCCACTCCGTTTTCCAGCACCAGATTTTCCATGGTGTTCAGTAGGTTTTCCATGTGTTGATTAGTTTCCCAGTTAAGTGGCTAAATTTACGTTTCAATATTCGGCGTTTAAGACTTTACAGCAAATGCATGGTTTTCCTGCCAACGAACACACATGTGGCTTCACTGGAGCACTCAGATGCAGATGTATCTGTACTACTTTTCACTGACCGCACACACACACACACACACAGAGATACAGCTCGAGTTTTCGGCTCGGTTTTCTTGGGTTTCCAAATAGAAATAGGGGAAAAGGAAAAACGCTGCCGCTGCGCACGACGCACTTCGTCACACTGACTTCGCGTTGCGTTTGACTATTTCTAGGAAGGTCGCAGCAGGCCCGAAAAATGTTTAGCTCAGTATCTTGAAAACAATATTCGACTCTATTCCATTGTGTGTGAGTGAGCGGGGAAATCGTCGTTGTTGTGTTGAGTGGAGTGGATTCTCGGACCGATTCGGTTTGAGTTGAGTTAGGTTGACTGTGTGGCACAGCACACGTAAATGTATCTGACAGATACTCTACATGGCGATCGAGGGGAGAAGAGCCCGAAAACTAGAGAGCGCGCTAGAAAGAGCGCTACTCGAGTGGAGAGCGACCGATTTATCTATGTCGAATCGTAGGCCCTAAATGCTGAGCATACATTCGGATTTGGATTTGGATTCGGAGGTATCTGTATTTGTATCTGTAGCTGGCACTCACCAAGTGCGTGAACCACGCACTTCAGGATACTTGAGCTTCTCAACTGTTATACAGTCGAGCTGCCATTAGTATAAAATTGAATTTATTTTATTTATACCTTGCAAGGGGGTATAATAATTTCAGTCAGAAGTTTGCTATGGTTTTTTCAGAACATGGCCTCAAACTAGCATTTAAAAGCCCATAACTTGGATTGGTATACCTCGAAATGCTAGTGATATACTCCATAATAAAACTGCATACTGCATTTCGATTTTTGCGTCGATTTTTTTTCCCATTTTTATAATGGTTTTTATGATTCAAAAATCGGCAAAATTGCTTCTTCGGAAAATGACCTAAATTCAGCACTGAAAGCCCATAACTTTTCGTAATGATGTCTGATTTTGAGTTGGTATATAATTGTATCATTAGTTTGGTTTGGTAGATTTTTTTCACATTTGACCTAAACCAGCATTTGAAAGCCCATAATTGTTCTTAAGGATGTCCGATATTGGATTGGTATACCTCAAAATGCTTGTGACTTAGTCCCCTAAGAAATCCTAAGATGAATTTATTATAAACTCACTTTCACTCAATACCTTCGGTTTGTAATATCTAATATATGCACACCCCAATTCTGCGCCGTTCTGATAGGCAGATCGCTTTTCAAAAAAATGATTCCCGTAAAAAACGAACCCATCCGATTGGTGAGAGCCAAAAAATTGCATTAAAAAACTGCAGTGCCACTGGCGGCGTGCAACCCTCGCTTCAGTCGCGTGCCGGGCAGCTGTGAGTTCCTGGGTGCAGTTCAACCCCTCGCGAACGTCACCCCTGCACCCCGACTGCATTGTGCAACGTATTTGCGAACGCTCAGCCTGCCCCTTCCTCCCTTCCTCCCTCTTTCCCTGTCTTGCTGCCACTCCGGCTTGCTTGCAATTAAATTCGGCACGTGCCCCGCTGGCGTGCCGAATCGATGACCAATGCCATTGATGACAGAGGAGCCGAGGGCGGAAATTGTAACGAAAATCGAACGCACAAGGGAGGTATCAGATGCCCCTGTTGTGGTTCGTAAATTTGGCAAAAACCAGGCCGGTTTTGAGTGGAAAGTGGCTCGAAAAGATAGAATTACAAGAATGGATTTTGAAAAATTAACAGAAATTAGCAATAGGGAATTTGAGAAATGGCAAATAGGAGTCGCATGATAAGTATGATCAAAAAATAACTTTTTTCACGTCAATAAATTAAAGAAAAATGTTTTGCAAACAAGGACCTATAAAATTAAAAAAAGGTACAATATGTATCTATAGGTATGTATAAAATTAAAAAAAAAAAATATTGAACTCAAAGATTTTGTCCGAATAATGAAAGAGCACAAACATTATATAAAAATTTTTTGATAAGGAAAACCTTAAGAATGTAAACAGAAATAAATTAAACTTAAGACATTAAATAAAGAGCTACCAATTTCGATCTCAGATTATTATTTTTTAACTAAATTATTGCCCATTTGAAACATTTTATTTGCTTATACGAGTAAAAATTATTTACAACGTTTTCCACTTTAAAAATGTATGTACCAAAGTAAGTAATTTGAAGACTCAATCGATGGCGAAATCAGATGAAAAGTCTGGGAAAGCCCCGAGGGCGGCGGCCGTTAATGTCCAAGGGTCACAAAGGGTCAGTTTGATTTTTTATCAACAGTAAATAAATGCTAAAGAACCCAAAACAAAGAGGCTCGAGCCAGCCGTCGCGCAGTCTGTGTCTGTAATCAATATTTTGGTGCTGAGCCGCTCTGAATCGCTGAATCCCGATGGCCAGTGGTCGGTTGGCGGACAAAGCCGGCGAAAGGACAAAGGACTCGGCGAGAGCGAAAGTGCCCATTAGGGATGCGCCGGGATGAAATGGCAGGCACTCGCATGTGCGTAATTGGAACAGGATTAACAAGGCGGTCCTGGCATTCACACACAGAGTGCAATTGCAGTTGGGGAAGTGCGGCCGGCATTGTCCAAGGGTCCGAGGATCGGTTCGAGGCATTTCCGCATTTCCCCGGTACACAATGGCCATGAAAATAATCCGCTTTAACTATAAAACGTTGCCAAACAGAAATCAAGGCTGACACGAAAATGAGGAAAATTCCAGCCGTTGATTCTATGCAAAATCGCACAAATGAAAGGAGAACGAGGGAGGATTTTTGCGATGGGGTGCATTCGCTCCATTTAGCCATCCATGTGGCATTTCCGCACAGCACGCGTTTGACCCAAGCTGGCACCTCGTTTCCCTCTCTGGTTTTTCCGGCTCCCATCCCTCCCATCGATAATCAGGAAATGTTTTTTTGTTGCCATCGTTTTATGCGTGAAACGCACACAATTTGCATGTCCAGGGGGTTAGCATGTGAGAGTAAGCATTGAAGTGCCCTACTTTCACTGTTGATTGACGTGTGATTGATGTTTCCATTTGCAGTGACATGCCGTCAAAGAGCTCTTAGTCGCCATAAGCTGCCTTCGAACAGAGCAACTAAATTTAATCAAATTCAAGCAGTTGCAATTGTCTCAACTTAAAGACTTTACACCTTTTTTAATTATTAAAATTAAAGTATTTAACTAAAACTATCTACGGGTAACAAATAAACTTCTTTGATTCGCAGGGTTAATTTCTTTTGTTAATAAAAAACAAAAGAAACCTTCTTAAGATCTGAAACAGAGAAATGATACCCCCAAAAGTATGCAAACATTTTCCTGCAAACAAAACCTTTTATCCAAGTAGAAAATCGAACAGTTTTATTATGAAATATTTTTGTATTTATTCATTCTTTTCGTACTGTTATTAATTGTGATTCTTTAGAGATATTTTATAGAGATATTTCATATATAATTAATAGGAATTTAAGTTGCATTCAAATAATTAGATAATTCTTGTTTTCTGCTCGATTTTGGTTGTTAATGGTTTCTCCTTTTAGATGTTTCGCATGTAATTGGCGTATAAATATGCATATAGTCAATTATTTCGTTTATTGTGGTATAAGAGGTGACTGATATATAAGCGTGTATATATCTTGAGGCTCGTTAAAATCAACATTTATTTTTCAAGTGGGTTCAAACAGAAACTCAATCTCCATCTCGAATATAAAATCATTAATTTTAATTGCAATTTTAATTGGGCTTAGCTTTGATTGCAAATAAAATTCGCTGCGTTTTTGTTGTTTCCTTTTCTAATTTGTAATTATTTATGAGAACCAATTTTGTACATTTTGTGTATATGAGAGAGATAGTGGGTAAACAATTTCATAGGACATACGTTTAACAAAGGCTCTACATGATCTATATAGGGCTGAATTATAGATAATTGTAATTATATAGATTCATACACTTGAAATATTGATTGCAATAAAGGTATACGATAGACTTATTGAATATATAATGGAATATATATTTGGATTTGATTTCTAGAATTGATCCTTGAATCATTTGTGTGTGAGTGTGTGTGTGTCGGTGTGTGGGTGTGTGTAGGTGTGTGAGTGAGTGTGAGTGTGTTCGACCTAAATCAGAGTCACTTATAACACTAAGAAGCAGTCATTTATTCTCCATTTAAAGTTACGTTGTGTCGTCACGTTTCTTGAATCCTGAAACAGATTTCAATTACTGTACAAAGTTGGGCGCTTTAACCATAGGCCATAAGTTGTTCGTATGTATAAATCGCTATAGCTATAGCTCTCTACGACTACGTATATTAATGTATGTATGTGTGCCTTGTATAAATATATATATATATGCCTAGACGTATCCATATCCGTATCGTAATATATTACAATGCTTGCTCAAACAAAAGGTTCGGTAAAATATATATCGAAATGTCTGGGGTTCCGTCAACTCCACAGCAGACCCTCTATAAGAACTGGCTGCTGTTGGATTTTGGGGGGTCTTTTCTATGAGTTACGAGTATTGTATATATAGTAATTCATTCAGTCTCACAAATAGGAAAGTATTATGTGTGTCGCTTATTTTAGTAGATTTCGGTAGCTGTCTCGAAAGTTGTAAGTCGATGAAACTATGGCGAAAATAAATAAAAAGATAAGATTCAGAGTTTTCGATAAAAGCTCAACAAAATATTGCACAAAATAAAAATAATCATGATGAGATGATTGCACAACCAACAAATGTGAGATTTGAACCAAACGATAAATAAAAAATCAATTTTGTGTTTTTTGTATAATTTTGATTATCTTCTTTTATATTTTCCATGTATGTAGGCTTGTCTCATCCTTTCTGCGTTTTGCTTTTCTTTAGAAATATTATGCGTATATATATAAATATTGCATATGCTTAGAAATCTAGGGCTAGCTTAGATCTAGATCTTACGTGGCTAACACATCTCGTCGTCACTCTTTCCTAGCTCCTGCTTGCTTTGTATCAAATACAAAAATACAAAAACTTTTGTATAGTCTTAGTCTCAATTATCGGGTTTTCTTGCGAATTTCCCCGAACTCCCCACCTCCCCTCATCTCGTACTTTACAAGACAAATACTTAAAATTACGAATTGGTGTTGTGTCTTACAGATCGAAGCCGAGCTCTGGGCCCAGCCTTTAATATACAGACCTTAGAAACTATTTTATTAATATGCTAATATGCTAAATAGATTTATGTATGTATACTTAAAGCTAGTCAGCCTCATTAAGATTATAAGCTTAAGTTTAGCTAAAGATTTCAATATATAATATTCAGACGAAAACGAAGACTAATTGAGAGCGTAATTTTGGTAAAGTACAATACGAGCAAATTTTTTGGATTCGGTTTTTTTTTTGTTTGTGGTTAAAGGAGTTGGAGGAAGGAGTTGAATGATTAAGGCGCAAAAGTAGTTGGGGAAATATCCTAGAGTGTTAGACTAACGTGTATATATATTTTATATATATTTAGTGTGGTTTACAATATAATTCATGTGTTTCAAAATACAAATACAATCGTAAATGTAAATGTGGACAAATGGAAACAGTCAAAAGCACCGATTTTTCAGCTAAGTTTTCTTTACGTTTTTTTTTTCGTTTGTTGCTTAGTTTTTATATGTTTTTCTCCGTAATAATCATAGTAATCATAATAATGATAATGGTAATGGTAATCCCTATAGGTCTACGTAATTATATATAGCTAGGCGATACTAGTTCAACAGATGCCGAAATAAGGTTTCCTCCTATGTACAGTTTTGCTATCATTTGTTTGTTGCTGCTGTTCCGGTTGTGTATATTTAATAAAATACATATAAATATATATATATCCGTATGTATAATAATGATATATTCATATATAAAATACGTATATAAGCTTTCCACGTGTTCTGTTCTTATTGTACAGAGATGATCGACTCTAAGCAAATGTTTTCGGTTACTTTTTGTTTTTTTTTTCCGCGGGATTTCAGTGCTAACGAAATTCAAATAAGGCAACTTGAATCTATGTATTGTATGTATGTGTAAATGTATCCTTATTTATCCTTTAACTGCTAACTGTGTAATCTACGTCTAAAGGTGCGCGCCTCAACAAACAAACAAACAAACAAACAAACAGAGAGGATGAGAGAACAAAACACAACTGGAAAATCATCGAAAGTCAAAGTTCTAAATGCATTTTCTCTCGTTCTCAGTTCTCAGTTTTTCCGCAAAAATTCTCTTCTGCTGCCGGCTCCATTTATTCTCCCATTAACAATCGCTTTCTGCTAGCCAATTTTCATCGTCCTTTATATGTACGCTGTGTGTGTGTATATATATAAAATATTTATCAAAAATAATATGCCTTTAGTGCTCTCCTGCCATGCTGATAATGATGAGAAGAAGAATTCATGGGTTTGCCGATTGGTGAGATCTAGTTTTCATAGCGCGAAAATGAGTTTTCAATTTTCAATTTTCAAGGGGGGGCGGGGAAGGATCAAAAATTTTAAGGGGTAATCTTCAACTATATACAACTATATAATAATACCGTTACGTTTACTTGTGCTGCGTGTGTTTTCTGTTTTTTTTTTTTTTTAAGGGTATCGTCTGTCTGTCGTCTGCCTGTCTGTTCTTAACTCTATTTGATTTTATTGCACTTGGATTCCATCACTTCCTCTGGTCTGCAGCTGCTCCTCCTCCTTTTTACTTCATATCCCATATCCTGCTTGGGTTCTACGTGCACTCGATGATCATGGGCTGGTTGGAGGACTCGATGACCGACGGTCGGCTCTCCTGCGCCTGAACATGCTGCCCATGCAGATACACTCCCGATTCTGGCAGGGATTTGAGTCCCTTGGGCGAGTGTTGCTGCTGCTGCTGTTGCTGTTGCTGCTGCTGTTGCATCTGCTGCAGCGAATGCGGGTGGCCGTGTTGCAGCAGGCGGTTGGGCGACGGCTGCTGGTGGTGCGGCGGCGGTGGTGGCAACTGGCTGGCGGTGGTCAGCAGCATCGGAGCCGGCCCCACCGAATGCTGGGCCATCAGCAAGTGGGGCGGTGGCACGCCCTGCTGCTGGTGTGGCTGCTGCTGCTGATGTGGCTGCTGCTGTTGTGGCGGCAAGTGGTTGCCCAGGGGTATCAAACGCGGTGGTGATTGGCCACCGTTCGAGAGGTGCCTCAATCCCGGATGAACAGCGGGATGCATGTGCTGGGTCAACTGCTCGTAGGCTTCCCGCGAGTCGGGTTCGGGATGGTCTTTATCTGCAGGAATAATAAACACAACTGTTAGTTGGAATTCCCTACAGATTAAAGTTATAGAAACCTACCCAAACACTCGGAAGTTGCCGCTGCTGCCATGGCCAGTTCCTCCTCCAGATTGTTGGGCTTGCAGCTGGTGGTCTTCCAGTGGGTCCTCAATCCCGAAGCACTGATGTACTTCTTATCGCAACCCTGACACACATACGGCCTGTCATTCGTGTGCAGTCGCTTGTGCAACTTCAGATGCACGAACTGCGTGAACTTCTGGGGGCAAAGGTCACAGGCATACGGCTTCTGACCGCTGTGCAGCCTCAGGTGCGTCTTCAGATTGGAGGTGCTCGAGAATCGCTTCTTGCAGATGTCACACTGATGCGGCTTCTCGCCGGTGTGCACCAAGTGATGCTTCTGCAGGTGCGCCAACTGGGTGAAGCTCTTCGTGCACACGTTGCACTTAAAGGGCCTTTCCCCGGAATGGGTTCGCAGGTGCACCTTCAGGTTGCTCAGCTGCCCGAAGGTCTTGCAACACACATTACACTCGTAGTGCATCTTGCCATCTTTCTTTTTGAGTGGATACGGCAGCGATCGGTAGCCTCGGGAAGCCAAGGAGTTGGGACTCAGTGGACTGCCACTTCGGGGACACGAGTTGCCATCGGGACTCAGGCTGCTGGGTGGCGAGATCCTCAGGGGGGACAAACGCTGCAGGGGAGTGAGCGGCTGCATCAGCGGATGGTTCAACATCTGGGTGCTGGTCTGCAGCAAATGCAAATTGGAGGCGGAACCCGCTCCGCTCGAGGCATTCGACTGCCGGTCGAAGGGGGAATGGGAGCTGTGTGGCGGTGAGTGGAAGGTGGAGGTGGCCGCTGCTCCGTAATGCGGATAGCCTGGGTAACCGGGACTCGGGGAGTGACCACCCGCCTCGCCAGCTCCCAAGTAGGCCGCATGCCTCGAGGGCGAGAAGATCACATTGTGGTGATGGTGACTCGGCGGCGGTGGCGAGCATTCTCCCTTGATCAAGGTTGTCCTCGACATTTCCTGTTCGCCAACCACCACGGCGGATGAGTTGAGCTGCTCGGGATTCTGTCCCAGATTGGAACTGCTGTCGGGACTCACGGCATTCCCGTATCGCTGCGATTTCTTGTAGCTGTAGGCCATCTCCGTGGGCGAAGTCGGTGGCGGAGTGGCCGCATTCGCCTGGCGACAGGCATTCGCCGCCGCAGCTGCCGCCTCCAGGCGATGCTGGCTGGTCAGGATCGTCTCCAGGATGCTCGAGGATGGCTGGCCGAAGCGCATGTAGCGCTCCCCTGGTGGATCTGGTTCGTAGTAGGGTTTACTCAGTGGGACAATCGTTCGTGCCTGACCTCCGGAATTGTGTTCCAGTACAATGACCGTGGAGGATGCGGGCTGCTGGTTGGCCTGCTCCCTCTCCTGGATCCTCTCCCGCTCCCTTTCCCTCTCCATCATCAGCATGTGCTCGTCGCCCAGGTGGGTGGTGGTCGAGGGGCAGATGGAGTCGGGTTCGGGGTGCATCGCTTGGTCCTCCTCCTCCTCCGGCGGCAGGGACATCTCCTGGTCCACCTCCTTCAGGCTCGGCTCCTGTTTCACGCAGCTCTTGTTCTTGAACTCGTACTTTAGCGGCATCTTCACCTTGAACTTCCTGTACTCGTTCTTGTCCGTCTCGCAAATGGGCGTGGCACTCGGCGGACTGCTCATCACGCTGCTCGTTGTGTTGGCCATCACCACCGCGGGTGGCGAACTGCTCGGCTTCTGGGCCTGGGCAATCACCGTCTCCTTCGGAGCAATCGCCTTCTTGGAACAATCGAGGACATAGTTGTGCTCGCTCTCGCTGTCGCTGGAATCCTCGGGCGGCGTGAGTCCATCCTCGTGGCACTCGTTGCTGTGGTAGCCCTCGTCCGATCGCACCGATCTCACGCTGCCATCCTGCGGGGTCATCTGGTGGTCCAAGCCGGACAGCGGCGATCCCGCCGTATCCTTGTCGCTGCTGGCCAACGGCGATCGATCCTGGCCAATGATCACAGACGCATGTCGTCCGTGCTGGATGTGCGGATGGTGGGAGCTGCAGGAGGAGGTGGTGCTTACGTGGGCGGGTGGACTGGAACGGCGGCAGCACTGCGTGGCACTTGGGGGCGGGGGCGTGGCACCGGAAACGGAAGCGGCGGAACCATTGCTCCCATTTGTGGGAACATTGCCCGCACCCACCGGCAAATGGAGACCCATCACGTAGGTGATGTGACTCACGGCCACATCGGCGGGAATTTCGGGAGCTGGCATCGAGTATCGCGGCTTGCCCGCCTCCCCCTCCGCCGCCTCCTCCTCCTCCTCGTCCGCCTCCTCCTCGGCTTCCACCGCCTGCTTGCAGGCGCCGAAGATCGTCGTCTCGGGATCCACATCGTAGCCCAAGCGACTGGCGAAGTCCTTGCAGTACCACACCATCAGCTCCTCGTTGGGCAGGATGTCGCGGGTGGTGTAGAAGTAGATGTTCTCCTGGTGCTGGCAGGCCACCAGGTTCATCACGGACAAGCTGTACGCGGAGGCCACGTAGCGCATCCAGTTCGACTGCGAACGATCCGAACCATCCAGATAATAGTAGTCATCGTCCTTGAAGATCTACGGAATCAAAGAGAGCAGGGAAAAAGGGGATTTTAGAGAAACTCTGGAGCAGTGAAAATGGAAAGGATAACGACACAATAAGCACAACAAGGAAAACAAACAGAGAGCTTACTACAAGGAAGAAATATTTCGTGATGTGTTTATAAAAACTTTTAAAAATATTAAAGTACCCTTAAATCGAATCAGTAATTAATTATTTAAAATTAATTTATTTCAGTTTTATTTATATAGTACATATTTTGAAATAGTTTTATTAAATTTTAGATTTAAAAATTTTTTTTTTTTTATAACACATCACATTAACATAGATCAAATTGAGCAGTGCAAGGATCGTTAGATAAATAGTTTGTGCTGATCGGGGAATTAGTTGGGGTAGCTGGTGTAAAGTTAGGGGTTAAAGACAACAAATAGAAATCATAGAAAGCATAAATCGTGAGTGGTACCTTAATATTCCCGTAGGTTATGTGGCGTGTTCCCTGCACCTGATTAACCACAATCAAATCGAATTGTTTCCAAAATGCATAATATAATTTTGAATTTATGTTCGGTTTGTTTTTATTCATTTTTTTTTATACATATTTGTGTTGATTTTGGTTGGGTAATTGTGGGATGGTTTAAGATTAGATCACATGAAATAAAAATTAAAGAGAAACGAGTTGGTTAGTTGCATATTTTATTTTGTCAGCTGGATGATTTGGATGGGGGAAGCATGTTTTAGGTGATTCGAAATGACACTTAAACCTCTTTTGGGAGGAGTTGTGACCAAAAATATGGCAAACAAAACATATGCAAATGATTTAAAAGCCCACAACAGATGCTTAGCCCTTCAAATAAGTGAAGCTCATAAGGATATGAAGATGCTTACCCGCCAGAAATAGCGCGCCTTATTCTTATCATTGGGATAGTTTGAGGTTGGAATGCCTTCGAATGGGCCGAAGCGAGTGCCACGTGGGATGACCCCGCTGCTCCAAACTCCTTCAGTCTGAAAGTAGTAAAAATTGAGAGAAAAAAGGGTTAATTTGATGATTTATTAGATTTTTAAGAGTTTAATATAACATATAATTTATCTATGAGAAAATGTTTATTTATTTATGAGAAAATGTTGATTTTTTTTGCTACACATATTTTTATTTCAATTGTTAGGATGTACTTTAATTTATTTTTTTTTTTTATGGTAGTGATATTTTTTTAAAATTAATTTCTAGAGTTTTTTAATTGAATTTTTGTTGTTATTCTACTAAATATTATATAATTTTGTGGAAAATTGTTCTCTTACCTTAACATTTGGCGTTGAGTAGACCATGGATGACTTGAGTGTCAGGCTGCGCGGCAGCGTTTTGTCCGCCCGATTGGGCAGTCCCCGCTCCGCCTGGACATCCGGCACCAGGTAGACGGCCAGTCGCTCGAAGTCCTCCTCCCGCATCCTGGTCACATCATAATCCTGGTTGCCGTCCGGCGTGGGACTGCGACTTCGACTGCGACTGCGCGCCCTCCTCGCCGACAGCTTGTGGTGCGGATGCGGATGTGGCTGGGCATGGGTATGGGGATGCTGCGGATGCGGATGCTGCGGATGTGGGTGCTGATGATTGAGCGGATGGCTGTGGGCGGGATGGTGGGGCTGATTGGCTGCCTTCATGATGGCTCCTGGCTGCTGATCCTGCGGATTTTGTGGCTGCTGCTGTTGCAGTTGGTTGTGGTTGTGGTTGTGGTTGTGATGTCCATGCATGGCGACTAACAGCTAGATTGTTTGTTGTTTTCCAAAGGCTATATATATATGCTGGTATATATATATATAGGGGTATCAGTGGTTGCTGCTTATTCTGCTAGTTGTGGTTGAAGTTTTACTTGATCTGGAAAGGCACAAAGGAAGGGGACGAAATGAGTTTTAAATATAGACACAATTTGGCGCTATAAATAGAGGCGCCTATCACCCTATAAAACCGTTTCATCGCCCCCTCGAAAAGCTCCTCTTGCACAGTGTTGCATTCGTGCAAAAAAGCTAACTACCCAACGAACTGAGCGACGAGTAGCGAGTGAAGAAGGGGTCGTCGAGAATGGGGGGCGGTTTTTGGGTGGCTGGTGCAGTTCAAGATTGCGGCCTTAATGGAGGTTACACGTTCACGTTCAGGGGCATCCCCACCCCATCATCACCGGTTCGAAAACGAAATGAAAATTCCTCGAAGACAACTCACTTGAATTATCCTCCTCAATTTGGCTGCCGCTTGCTGCATTTTGTACTCTCGTTCTGCATTCGCATTTGGTTTTTCTCCTACATTGCTTTCAAAACTTATTTAAAATATTTTTTGTGTGTTATTTCTGGGTTCTTAATTATTATAGAGCTGCTAATTGATTGTGGATTTTATTTTGTTGTCGCTGTTGTTCCTCCTTGCACTGTTTTCGGTTTTTTTGCTTTTCATTTGAATAATTTGTGTGTTGGGCCCGCAAATTACGCATCACTTTCTGTTTCGTTCTCTCGTTACGCATACGCCGTGTGGCCTGCCCACCGCCCCGGAATAATTCTCCGGCTGTCCGGCTTTGCTTGACAATCTACGGCGGACCTCCTGCTGCTCAGCCAGCATTCTTATTCGCACTGCACTGCGGTATTTAATTTTTCATCCAAATTCGCCAGGCGGAAGTGAAATGCAAGTGCATCTGCGGCCGACGACAACGAAAATGCGAGCAGAGATTAAAGCAAATATTTGTATTTATTAATTGTTTTTCTTGTATCTTTTTTTTGTTGCAGTTTTGTTTTTCTTTTTTTTTTTTTGTATTTTTGTGAAGAAGAGCTAGGGAAACGTTGACGCCGCCAACCGAGAGTTCCTACTACTGACCCACATCCAACCGGCATAGACCCCAAAAAAGCTCCAAATTGCAAGCCCCATACACACACGCACACACCAACAGTGGAACCAATACAGGGACATCAACCGGCATTGCACCAATACGAGCTGCACTGCATACACGAACGCATCCCGCAAGAGATTCTCGCTCGGAAAGTTCTCCGCCAAAGAGAGAGAGACAGAGAGAGAGAGAGAGAGAGGGTTGGGAAGCGCTTTCGGGCGAAAGCTTCTCGCTCGGTGGTGCTAGTGGACTAGTGGTTGCAGCGGTGGTTCATTGGTGGTTGCATGTCGATTATTTTAAATGTTGGTCTTCCTTCGCTTTTTCCCTCCTCGGACATTTTCAGCTGCGCAATCATGAATTTATTGTGCAAGGCTGGCCATTTAATTCCTTCCTAGAAACGACAATGAATTGGGTTTTTGGATTGGCTCTTCAGCAATTCGTTGATACGAACAAAAATGGCTTGATCACTCCATTTTGATTACATAAATCAACAGATATATCTTATCGTTACTAACAGCTTATAACTTTTTTACCTAATAAAAAGTCCTGCACAATTCCTAGAAATCCGGAAATAAGGAACGAGAACCTTAAATAAATACAATAAATTATGTTGCATACTTCCGTATGTTGATTGCTCTTAAAAGGGATTCTCCCCATACAAATCCTCACCTATTTGCTCGAAATTAGCAGGAAATTCCAGGAACTCTCCTCCTTATCGCCGTACTAAGCCCCACCATTAATTCGAAATGTTATCGCGCCCCCCAATCAAGTTGAGTGCAATCGCATAACCAGGAAGTTCACTTTGATGGCCAATGGTGAAGTGGGGTTGTTGTGGACTCACCCAATCTGTACAGATATATGAACAATAAATACGGCTATTTGTACACCATATTGGGTTTCAACTCCCCCGTTAAGTTCTCAAGTGGCCGAAAAGGCGCTACCAAGTGGCTCTGATCCCGTCCGCTCGTCGAACTGCACGCACGTAGAATGCGAATTGCGAATGTGAATTTTCCGAGCCCCGGCGATCAAAAGCGACACGGATGCAAAATTGCAACACTCTACGTGAATCTGTCTGTATGTCTGTATGTGGATGTATGTATGTGTGTCCGATGCACTTGCACTTGCACTTGCACTTGCGAATTGCATTTTGATTCTATTCTGCGAGTGCGGAAATGTGCGAAAACGATCTGCAGAAAGTGATTTCTGGCTGCTCGTGATTTTCCCATCCCTTGTGTATTTCAGTTATTTATTTTTTCCTTTTTCTTTTTTTTTTTTTTTTTTTTTGTTCTTTTTGAGTGGGCTTGCCAGCTGGCGCCGTCAGCCAAAAATATGCAGACGAAATGAGGAAGATAAAATCTCGTGGGTTGTGCGAGATACTTTCGATTTTCGAGAGGGAGGGGCGGCCCAACCCTTTGCGCAATTACAGATGCGTTCGAGGAGGCGGTGGAGGAGCAGCACTAGGAAGTCGAAAGTCTTGTCATGCATACCGCTGAAAAGTCAACAATATTCTACTTAAATCAACAACTGCAATCGTGAGCGTAACTGCAGCAGATAGCGCGCCAAAAAGCTTTTCGCTATCGCTGTGAAAATGAAAATAAACAGCTGCACTCACACGCTCACGTAGGCATTAGAAACAAAAAGTAAAAATCGCTTGGCGCTCTGCGTTTCTAATCATCGCACAATTGCATTTGAAGGACACACACTCGACGCGAGCGAAATTAAAAATAAATAACGTACACAGACCAAGACATAATCATAAAAATGAAATAAAACAGCGCCGAGAGAGACGCTGGCAATTGGTCGGAACAGCAAGCATTCAACATTCAGCATATAACATTCAACTTGAACGCTGACGACCCGTGATAAGCGCTCGGCCACATTGCGCATACGCCATGTGTGCCGCAAGTGAAAAGAAAAAACTTCCGCGAAGCTCCTATGCTCGCTCGCTCGCATGCATCGATCTTTATCAAATTGCAACGCGGAAAGCGATTCCCACTGCACAGAGCCCAAACGAACCGAACCCCAAATGGGGTCGGAATCGCTCCCTCAAGGACAAAGCGAACTGTACTAACCGCACTAGAGCACTACCTATATGCATTCCTATATAATATAATATATATATGTGCACGTTCAGCTGATAACTGCACTCTGCCGAGGCGCCGCAGTCATAAATTGCTAGCCATCCCGCTCTATCTAAGTAGGAAATCACCGGAGCTAAGTAGTTTCAATGAATAAACAAATTTAACGATGTATTTTTTCAAGTGTAATGTAAATATTTATTGTTTAACAGTGTGCAAGGCATGGAAGTTCTAAAAGGGGGCCTTTTGTACTTTAAAATAAATAATAATTGTTATGCAGGAGTTGCGATTTATATAATTAATTTTGGTAATTAGTATACTACCTTGTTTTTATTTCTTTTTGATTTAATCTCTACAAATCGCGCTAATTATTTGTTAGAGGGGTGACACAAAAACCGAAAAAGCGGTTTACACCAGTTTATAGCACAATTTTGAAGCTTATTGATTTGCAGTTCAACGGTCTCTATTTGTTTTGGTATTTCTGTTAATCTTTGCAATAATAAAAGCTATCGAAGGCGGAACCAGGAATTGTAGAATTTGTATTTACACATTCTTAGGTCGTTCCCCATGGTTTCTGATCTATTATGGCATCGCATTCGCTACACTTTCAATACGGTCACAGCGTTTTTAGCCTGGGATTCGCTTTGCATGCCCAGTACTTCGATGTTAATCCATATTTTCCATTGTTGGCCGAGATGATTTGCAGTCATTCAGTGGTGCCTCCTAATACAGGGTGTGTGTGTGCGACAGAGAGGGCACCACCCGGAAATGTAAAACGTACCCCCTAACATTTTGAACGGGGGTCGAAAAGGGGGGAGTTCGCATTTAGTTTTATGTGCATGCAAAACGAAACGAAAAGCGAAAAACGAAACGCAGGGGGTGGTGAGGTGGGGCAGCTGATAAAATAAAATTGTGCACTATTTGTTTGTCTCTCTCTCTCTCTCGCTCGCTCTCCTCTGTCGTCTGTGTAATAATAATTTGTGTGAGCTTTTCAGCGAAAAAAGAAGAAGGGAACAAAGGCGAAGGGGGGGATGGTGGGGGCAGTGGGAGGGCGGGGCGTTCGGCTAGAGCATCATCATCATCATAACCTTGAGTCACAAGTCGAGAATGTGCATGCGAATTGAATGCGAAAACAACAAAAATTGCCGCATTCGTCTCACTCATCCGCATTGCAAAATAGAAAAAAAAATAAAGAAAAAAAACAACAACAACACACACACACAAACGATGGGAGGGGGTGGTGCGCAGTGGGTGTGTGCAGGTGATTATCTAATCAGAGTGTCGTGAAATTAATATCAGCATTTCAAGGACATTGAACAAAAGGTATGCCAGTTATTTTTATGCTGATGCCTCTGTGAGCACACGAACCACCCACAACCACCACCACCACCCACCCCACCCATTCATAATCCACCCCCTTTTGGCTGGTTAGGTATTGTGTTGCGGTTTCGTTGCACTTTAACCTTGAAAACGCTGTGCATTCTTTTGTTTTTGTTGCTGCCATTACTTTGATCTGCGCATGTGCAAAACGAGTGCATTCTCCATTCCACAAGCGAGAGTGAGAAAAGGCGATTGAACCGCTCCCACTCCGGAATACTTAGGCGATTCCCACTGTACAGTTAAGTCGTTTCGCATTTTGGCAGTTAATAAACGTAAATTTTAAATCAATTCAAAAATTCACTCGGACACGAAAGAAAGCAACAAAAATAAAAGCGAAAGTATATTAAACAAACAAATGATAAACGCAAAACGATTATACACATTTTTTTTCATTTTACCACATTCAATTCAAATTCTCCGAAAACAAATGCAAAAACAGAAAGTATTTATTCATTCATGCATTTTATTGTTGTTGAAGATAATTGAAATAAATTAACGATGTGTTTGATTTTCGTTTTCAAATGTGTATAATAAATTCATTAGGAATTCGTTCAGTTATTTGGTTCAATTTAAATAAAATTCTTTTAAGATTTGGTTCATTCATTTTGATTATAAATAAAACAAGCCTATATCTTCTTGATTATAACCTGGTTTCTGCTGCTCTACTAAATTATCTTGTTGTGCTTTACTAATTGTTTTTCAATTTTACAACTGCTTTTTGTAAATGATAATAAATCAATTGTGTTTTTTATGGTTTTCCTATTATTACTATTTACTAAGGCTTTGAGTGTGCCCTTGAGTCGTTTGAATCTGTATGTAATCAGTAGTTTGCTTTGACGTAGGTCAAATAACCATAAATTAAGTACTATTTTCGTAGGGGCTACCACCCTCTTTTGTCCTGTTCACCCCTTTTCAACATCATTTTCCTTATCAATGCAGTTGACTTTTCGAGTGTTTGTTTTCTAGCTTCGTTAAGCTTTTGGTTTGCACTTTGCTGCCTTATCAGTTGGCAATTTTCGCCCTATTGCGCAGTGAAAGTTTTCCATTTGCATGCTATTTCTGTTGTTGTTGTTGCCGTTCTTGATATAATAAATGTAAATGTGTTTGTTTGCGGTTTAATTGCAAACGATTAAACTTTGAATTTTAGATTGGCGATAGAACAACAATGGAAAGCAGTTGAAGGGCATTTCCGGTTATCGCATTGTTAAGTGTTCTACGGCGATTCAGTGAGCAAACAGAAAATGTTTATATTTAGCTACTGGTTCTACGTTCAAGTCCTCCCATGGCTTACATCATCTAGTGGACAAAAGGGTTAACGAACCCAAAGGTCAAATGCTTTTTACCCAGACTCAGACTCAGACGGCGACGTCGACGTCGACGCAGGCAGCGGCAGAGGCGCAGACGATGAGGCAATGCAAATTCAACTGCAGCCAAATGATGTTGCCTACGATGATGTCATGGCTACCAGCAAAGGCTCGAAAAGGAACAATACAATATTGCACATTTATCCTGTGGCGAAAATCAATAAACCACAAGCTGAAGAACAATTAAAAGTGGAGAACTTTTAAGTAGAAAAGTGCCAGCCGAATGGCAAGCGAGCAACAAAGATGAGGCACACCACAGAAGGTGTCTTCTCGCTGTGGCAGACGGATCAGGACACGTTACAGGAAGCGGCTTAAATCCATAATCCTGTGGGCGACACATTACCTTGACGACAGTTCCGAATGGAACGACAACAAACACGACCTACGACAAAGCGATTGAAAATGCGCATAAATTCGACAAAGGAGCAGCCAGTGTCTGCCTCCCATTGGCAAAAAAGGGGGCGGGGCCGCAGGGGGGAGGCGAGAGATTGGTTGCCAGACCATGACAACAACAAAAAAGTCAAAGTAAAAAAAAGCATACACTCGCACAGGGCAAGAAAAAAAAACAAATACAAGAACAACGGCAACAAAAATAAGGGCCAGACAACAGAAAAGGCGAACGACCCTTTTCAGGCATTTTCAGACGCCAGACGACGCCATCAATGTGGATGTGACTACACTGGGAAAAAATGCTTCCTGTTTTGGCTGGATGTATGCAAATATACATTTAAGATTTTTTATATCACTTTTCTTGACAAAATGTGATTTTGTACGAAGAGCTTATTAACATTTACTTTGATAAGTTTTTTATATCCTTGTTTCATGCCAGAGTAATAAAGCTTTATTAGCCTAGACTAGAAACAACTTACAAATATTTAAAAAAATAAATATTCCTGTTAATATGTTTACAAAAGTTGTTCTGTTTTAAGATTTCCATTAAAAAATTAATAATGATTATTCACGTATTGCCACAAAAGGTTAAGGAAACAAGTGGCGTATGAGTAATGTTTTTTTACAACTTAATGCTGGCTGTAAAGTTTTGCCGAGTGCACTCCGTTATGTTGGGGCAGGGCCCAGGCTGCTCGCTCAGTCGACTTCGGCTCATTATCCTTTTCGCTTTCCATACATAAATCGCTGGCGCTGCGGCTGGCGTTCAATGAACTCCGCCGGGCACGTACGGTCGTCGTACCCGGGCAAAAGGATACACACCCAATACGGAAAGCGAAACACACACAGGACGACGACGACGTCGTCGATGCCGCCACCGTCAACGGCGGCAGAGCAGTTGGCCGAAGCAGCGGCAGCGGCAGAGGCGAAAGCAGAGAAGCAGGCAGCAGACAGACGCGAAGGTCCTGCGAAACTTGGGTTGGGTTCGCTGCTCCTTTTGGTCCTCGTGAACGTGGACTTGACAGTGTGCAGCGCGGAAAAGTCCTCTGCTGCCGCCGCTTGGCGAAGGAAAACTCCACTCGTGGCTGCGCTGCCGCTGAGGGCAAGGACCTTGCCGACTGCCAAACCGCCAACTGCCAACTGCCAACTGCCGACTGCAGACTGCAATTGAGCCGAGCTTCTGCGCCGACGTCATCGTCTGCCCAGGCAGGCGCAGCAAAGTTTCACTTTTAATTTTTTCCACCCATTCAGCAAAAGCGCCGCACGAACCAAGGCCATGCGTGCGAAAGAGACAACGGCTGGTGTTTGTGTCTGGGATACAAGGATATAAGTTCGCCATTGGGCCGCTTTTGGGTTGGGTTCCTCCGGGCGGACTGCATTACTGAACTGAACCGAACCGAACAGAACAGCACAGAACAGTGGAGAACAGTAGAGAACGGAGTTGAACTGAACTCAACTGAACTGAACTCAGCCCAACCGAACTGAACTGTGTGTGCAGAGAAAGGTTGTTGAACTGCGTCGGCAGAGGCAGAGGCGAACTTTCACAACGACAGGCGAAACAGGGAGTCAGTGCGCTAGGACATGGTCAGCACAAAAGCAAAAGTAGATTTTATGCTAAAAAAGGCCCTAACCCTTGCTTAACTCATTTGGGGTTATAGCTACATTTGAACTCAGAAAACATGTAAATTGTATCCTTAAGGAGACCCCCAGTTTTACCCTAAGATTCTTTCAAAATAAAATAAGATTTAACCCCCTTAGTTACCTTTTTCTTTGGTTATTGCACAATTCAAACTCAGTCTCTCTGTGTGTTATGGCCTCAGTCTTAACGGCTCTGTGTTTCAGGTGTTGGCCAGTTTTTGGTGGCTTTTTAAGCG